CCCCAAAACCCCAAAACCCCAAAACCCCAAAACCCCATATGAGAATGGTAAAATTGAAATCTTATCATAATTCAACAAAGATACTTTTTATACCAATGTTCTTTCTTCTATCATCTTTCTTATTCTGATTTGTTAACTTAATACTTAAGCTGGTATGGTTTTTAGTATAGTCGCTTTTAGATAAACTCTGCGCACAGCACTCGCTATTTTTCATTGAAAGTCTCTCCTCCGATTGCTCTTCAGTAGACCTCTCTCAGCTCTTTCTGTTCTTAATCTCATTCCGTTTTTTGGATAACTTTCGAAGGGATAAAAATTTATTTACTAATCCTCATTTTTCTTCTGGTTTTGGCAGATCTTAAAGGATTCTTACGAGACATTACTTTGCAAGCCGCATCTAGAATAGTAACTTTCAGGATGATCTCAGGTGAGTAGTTGGCTTCTGTCTTAGAAGGAGTACTTTTACTAAAATTATTTTGGAAGCTTACCAACATTTCAATAATGAGGAATCTCTGGATTTCGGCCTTGCATCAGGCGTCTTTTGGGTAGCTAGAAGGATTTGGATTACTTAATTTGCAAAATTTGGGAAATACTTACATTTTAGAGTCTTTTGGCTACTTCTACGGTGAGTTAAGTGGATCATAGGGATGTCGAATGGCTTCTTTGGGGTGAAGCGGGAGGTAGTGTCTCTTTTATGAGATTTCTGACACGTGTTGTGCTTCTTACTTGATGCCTGTTTTAGACTGAATTTATTTAGGCTCAGTGAGGAGCTTAGATTCGGAAGAAGTAGCTTTCCTTACAGGTGATGTATAATAAGGGGATTCCTTTAATCCAGCTTTTCCTGACATGTATGGAGACTTCTGTTTCTTCCTACTACTAGGGTGCAAGGGAGAAGAAGTTTGAGAAATTGGAGAAATCAGTGAATTCTTTGAAGACTTATTACACCTGTTCGTCCTTGCTCCATGCTTTGAGATATAATTCTTCATCGATGCTTTGTTCAGATCTCTTTTAGTCTTCTTAAACTCTTCTAATTTAGAATTTATCTTTGTTTCATACTTTTTCTCTATTAAATTTTATTCTCTTAAAGCTCCTTGGAGAAAAGCAAGATTACGATTTTAGTGAACTTACTGTATCTTTCCAAATTAAATAATCTTGGAATTTCTATTGGAATTGAGGTTGAAGCTAAACCAAATGGATGACTTATCTTATTCATCTTGCTTATCAAGAATTAGATTTTAGGACTTGGTAAAGAATAACAGTCTTAAATTGGATAAATATATTTATTCTATCTCTATATTATTTCTTGTTTCATCTAAAATAACGAAATAAAACTAAAAAAACTGCACACAAAATCTCTTTGATCATTCTTCACGCTGAACACTCTAAGCTAGTCCCTATATTCTTACTCCTGCTCCCTTGCATAATGTGTGGGTGTTCTTCTTCTCAGTCTTCATCCTTCCAATGTCATTACTCTTAATGCTACCTTTAAGAATCATTAGAAGCAATTCAGGACGAAATTTAAGCTGTTTGAGAGAATAGGCTGGGTTGGAGTTACCTTCAATCTTCCCTTTCTTAAACCCTACTAAATACTTCACAAGACTGTTCGACCTGCTTTTCTTCCTCTTCTCTACCACAGTATTTTCAAGACAAAGATCTGTGGCTTTGGACCTATGGTGTGAAATGAGGGGGTACAGGTCATGTTTTGGAGGGGTGATGTAGGTCTCGTACATTGATTTTAGGGATTTTAGGTTGGGGTAGGGGGACTGAGTGTGGGAATGGGGGATGATGTGGCTGCTGGTTTTATATGTTTTGCAGTGAAGGGGTCTGGACATGTTTATAATTAAGTTATTATTATGTGTAGGGGTTTTGGGGTTTTGGGGTTTTGGGGTTTTGGGG